AAATGAAAAAGAAAGTCATTGTTAAATTAATGATGGTTGATCATTGTATTGAACAGCCAATTGGGAAATTGCATGGTGGGTATCAGAACTCATAGCTGCCGATTTAGGGAGCTTGGGAGCCTATCCTATTTCGATTGCAATTTTCAGGAGTTTTTGTAAAAAATATATTATAATAATTTGATATATATGAGATAAAAAATATGATCAGAAAATGTGTTTATGCAAAACGTAAAAAATTTTTCATAGAAGATGGCTTTCCAAACAATGGGGATTGTTTGGACAAGAAATTTTTAAAAAAATAATTAATTTTTTTATTTGTATTATAAACACATTTTCTGATATTTTTTATTTTTTATAATTACTTTTTTATTTCACATGCGTTACAACTAATTTTATTAGTCACACTTTACCCCCTTCAATCATAAATATATGCAATTTACCCCATATGAAACTAGTCAAAAAGTTAAAAGCACAATAAAAGTGCATGAGTGCAATTACATCATTGTCTTTAGGAACGAGCCAACCTCACAAAATGACATGGACTCGGAGGAACCTCTGCCCTGTGTTTTAAAACTCGGACAATTTGACCGATCGAATTGAGAATCAGCCAAGTATTTGGTCCGAGTTATACTAAAAAATCGGATAAGTAAAAATCCGGTCAAAACCGATTTTGATCGGAAAAAACTGAATTTTTCAGTTCAATCAGCATTTAAAAAAAAAAACTCAAACTTTTTCAATATTATTTTTTGACCCTTATATTGTTAAAAATTATTAATATACCTCAAATATTTCATAGTTTATCAATATTTTCTTAAAGTTTGGTGTTATTTTTCAATTAAGTCCATAATTTTAATTCTAAACTTGTTAATGCTCATTAAATAATATAAATTGCTATTTGATTGTTCTAATTTCTTTGTATTTTCTTGTTAAATATATTTGAAATATGAAATATATATGAATATACCTTTATTAATATTAACATGTTATTAGGTATTTTACATATAATATTTTAATTTTAAATATATTTTAATTTACGACGTCATCCGGTTCAACCCCTATCGAATTCGATTTAACCCGTTGACTCTTGACCCCTGAGATTGATTGAGTCAATACCCGGTCCGGTTTTGAAAACATAGCCTCAACTTACAGAAGATTGTGGAGGAAGCAAGAGGTGCATACAAAGAGCTAAAGCCATCCCCGCAAGAAAGTTGCCAGAAGGAAGTGCAGCGCTACATTGGACGGGTAAAGCCTCCCAACAGGTTGGAAGAAACTAATGACGTCGACGGGTCTGCGGCTGGGAATCCAAGGCTGCTGGGTGGGAGGATTCTCAGCAAACATTGGATTTAGCTACCAACACTGAAACAGAACTGTGGGCATTAATTTATGGGATGGAATTTGCATGGAAGACAGGGGAAAGAAAACTAACAGTTGAATCAGATTCAAAGGTGAGCATACAACTGTTAAAGGAAGCCTCCAATGATAGCCCTCACCACAACTTGATCAGAAAGGTGCAAGAATGGTTGAAGAAGGATTGGGAATGGCAGCTGGTGCCATGTTTGGAGGGAGAGCAACTCCTGTGCAGATCATCTAGCTAAAAATGAGCCTAAATTTGCCTCCTCAAGAGTTTGATATCAGAGGTGTAGCATCACCCCCGTATAGTTCCTATGTAATGGCCAATGGCCATCCTTAGAACCAAATAAAAGAAAATTACATTATTGCTTTTTTTTTGGTTGAAATTACGTGTGACCGAATATTATTTCCTTTTCATTATTAAAAAATATACATATTCTGTATCGTATGAGTTATACAACAATCTCTGAGAGTAGCTTAAAAAAATTTATATTTAGTATATCTTTTCAAATTTTTTTTCCTGTTAGTTTAAATATTAACTTGTACTATGTGTTTTGTTCAGTTAATTACGTTTCAAGTGAAACAAAATGGATAAATGACACAATACTAAATTGCAAATTTGATGACCAATTGGACTAAATTGATAGATGAAAATGACAATAATATTAGTCTAAAAGTTTAAATAAAGTAAAATAATTGAAAACTTTTAAACCAAAACCGAGCTTAGTATTAGTGTTTGGCTTTCTTCCTGAAATTCTGGCATTCCTTTTGACTATTTTATGAACTGGCCCCTGCCACTCTTGAGCCGTGTTTCTCTTGCTCACCGTCTTTGCAGTACGACTTACTTCTTTATTACTATGTCACCATTTTTGGGGTCTATCTATTCACCTCTTCTTCTGGTTCCGGCATATTCCTGGGCAGGTGCCTTAGCAGATTTGATAGGGTCTTTCGTGTCCCTTTAGTTCTTGGACACGTAAATGTTTCCGACGGCTGGTTCCGGCACATTCCTTGCCAGGCGGCCCCCGGCAGATTTTGACAGTGAGGATGCCTATCTCGGCCACTCTGCCGAGGTGACCCACCTCAACCATCACTCGAAGGCGGTCATGGTCTGAACATGACCCTTGAGTTCGGGCGGATCTATGGCCTCTGACATGGATGACCTCTGCACCTCACCCCTTCCGCTTCGACTACACGTTGTTGATGTCAACCCTACCTGACAGTACGGAGCTCATGTTTTATCTGAAAAGCACCTGATGCTCTTAATGGCTACTGCGTTAGAGCCCCCGTCATCAAGCCCCGACTACTACAGTGTCAGTCAGACCTCCTGTCAGGGGACAGAGCCGTAATGGCTAGAACGTGGGTCCCGCCAACATAGCCCACCGTCCTGTCATCCATTCACTCCTGTCAAGTAAGCACACAACTGCCTTTTAATGTTCATTACGTTTTTATTCCTCCAATATACTGACTTGATCGTCGGAGTGATCCCAGGGGAGAAGCCCCGCCACTCATTTCGAATAAGCAAGTTCACTTCGGACCGGCAAAACTGTCACACCTCACTTGAGAGAGGACTGATTCAGGTCGGTTCAGCTACATACCAGAAATCACCTCTTCAATTGGCACCGTCTGAGGGAACAGAGTACTGAAAAATGAGACCTACGCGATCCAGGAGTAGACGAGTTCCCCCTACTGGACCTGAGCCCAGCTCCGCTGCTCAGCACAACCGTGTGTCTGAAGAGTAGGGGTCCCCTAGGGAGGACCAGCGGCCTCCACGAGACGGATCCCCAGGCTACGGTCCAAACATTGTCGAAGTAATCAACACAATCACAGGTGGTCCAACGGGAGGAGACAGCCAGAACTCCCGGAAAAAAACCTACCATCAAGCTGGCCTGGAGGCTGCTGAGCCGAGCTCAAGATTATCTGAGGTGATTACCTATGGTCCTAGCGACCCTGTCCCTGCCGCCTCCAGCAACCACGAAACCCTCATGATTGAAGTCCTCACCAATAATTACATAGTCAAGAAAGTTTATGTTGATCCCGAAAGTTCGGTGGACGTCTTGTACTACCGAACTTTTGAAAGTTTGAAATTGACCAGAGAGTAGCTTACTCCTGTCAGAACTCCTCTCGTCAGATTCGGGAGACACGTGGTCCACCCGGAGGGGATGGTATCCCTGATGGTGACTATCGGGCGTCACCCCCGCTGCCGAACCATACCCGTTAGTTCTGCGGTGGTCAAAATAGATTCCCCTTGCAATATGTTACTAGGCCAGCCCACGCTCAACGCTTTGAGAGCCGTGTACTCCACCTACCACCTGAGTTTCAAATTCCTAACACCTGTGGGAGTGACCGAGGTAAGCAGCGACGTGCATGCTGCCCGAGAATGCTACCTCGCCACCATCCAGACTGCAGTCACTCCCCGTGTGGCATCAAGAGCTGAGGAGAAGAGGCCAACTATCCTCTCTATAGATAGCATGGATCCTCAGAAGATCGGAAAGCCCGGTAGACTTGAGTCCGGGGACAAGGTGGAGGAGGCGGTCCTGGATGAGGCGAGACCCAACCAAGTGATCCAAATAGGGAAGAATCTCCCTTCACCCCTGAAAGAAGAAATGATCCACCTGATCAAGGACCACCGAGAAGTCTTCGAGTGGTCCGCTGATGAAGTGGTTGGAGTGCCCCCTGAGCTCATGACTTACCAGCTTAACGTCAATCCACAGGTTTGTCCTGTGAGACAAAAACGTAGGCACTTCGGCTCTGAGCGCAACAAGGCCATATCCGATGAGGTCGACAAGCTCTTGCCCGCCAAGATGATTCATGAAGTCCAATACCCCACCTAGCTGTCCAACCCTGTCATAGTTAAAAAGGACACCGGTGGGTGGAGAATGTGTGTGAATTTCATCGACCTTAATAAGGTCTGCCCCAAAGATTGTTACCTGCTGCCACGGATAGACGCCCTCATCGATTCAGCGATGGGACATGACATCCTCTACTTCCTAGATGCTTTCAAAGGGTATCACCAAATAGAAATGAGTGAGGAAGATCAGGAGAAGACAGCATTCTACACCGACCGAGTTATCTACTGTTACACTACGATGCCGTTCGGGTTAAAAAACAACGGGGCAACCTACCAAAGGCTGGTCAACCTCCTCTTCAGAGATCAGATCGGCCGCAATGTGGAGGCTTATGTGGACGACATCCTTGTCAAGAGCCTTACCATTTCGGCCTTATTGGCGGATGTGAGAGAGGTCTTCGGCGTCCTACGGGACTCAAGGATGAAGTTAAATCCTAAGAAGTGCGTCTTCGGCGTCACCTCAGGAAAATTTTTGGGGTATCTGGTTTCCTGCCGCGGAATCGAAACTAACCCCGACAAGGTCAAGGCTATCCAAGACATATCTCCACCTCGAAACTTCCGAGAAATTCAGAGGCTGAACGGACGGCTAGCCGCGTTGAACCGCTTCCTGTCCCAATCTGCTGAGAAGGCCTTACTCTTCTTTAAGGTGCTGAAGAAGGCAGACCAGTTCACCTGGACCGAAGAGTGTCAGTAAGCCTTCGACCAATTGAAACAATATCTGTATCACCTGTCTACTCTCGCCTCACCTCGGCCGGGAGAGCAGCTGTACCTCTATTTTTCCGCCGCCGACGAAGTTGTCAGCGCTATGCTCATCCGAGATGAGGGCACTCAAGTGCTTGTTTACTATGTCAGCCGAGCTCTCCGCGGGCTGAAAATCCGCTACACTCAGGTGGAGAAACTCGTGTTGGGATTAGTTCATGCCGCTCGACGGCTGAAACCTTATTTCCTAGCTCATCCCATCTCTGTTAGGACAGATCAGCCACTTCGACAGATACTGGTTCGTCCCGAGGCTTCCGGGCGCCTCACCAAGTGGGCTGTCGAATTAGGAGAGTATGATTTGTCGTACGAACCCCGCACTGCCATAAAGGCTCAAGCGTTGGCTGATTTTCTTGCCGAACTCACCTTCACCGAGATCCGAGAGCCCACTCCCGCAATCGCTGAAGTGTCGGACCAGCACTCATGGACATTGTATGTGGACGGATCATCTAACGGGGATGGCAGCGGTGCAGGATTGCTCCTGGAAGGCCATTGTGGAGAAGTGTGCTCATATGCCCTCCGCTTCGACTTCCCTGCCACCAATAACGAAACCAAATATGAGGCCTTGATTGCTGGATTCCAGCTAGCCCGTAGGCTTGGTGCTAAGCGGATCCATGCCCACAGCGACTCCCAACTTGTAGTATACCAAGTTCTTGGTGAATATGAAACCAAGGATGAGACCATGCAACGGTACCTCTCTAAAGTCCGTCAACTCACTGAATACTTTGACTCTTTTAAAATCCAAAAAATACCCCGGTCACAAAATAGGCTGGCTGACACCTTGTTTCGGCTGGCTTCCACATCATTTTCTGACCTTAACAAGACGGTTCTAGTGGAAGTTCTGAACGAGTCGAAATACATGGAAGGGGTGGCCTGCCCCGTATACCCGGGAGACACATGGATGAGCCCATTAATCCTCTTCTTAGGCCAGGGAGTCTTCCCCGAGAACCGAGTCGAAGCGAGAAGGGTCCAACAAAAAGCAGCTCGATATGCGCTCCGCGATGGAGAGTTGTACAAACGGTCCTACCTTGACCCGTGGTTGAGGTGCATTACGCCCGAGAAGGGACACCAAGTCCTCCGCGAGATACACGAAGGCTTATGCGGGGCTCATGTCGGTCACAGGATGTTGGCCAAGAAGACCCTACTCTTCGGGTATTTCTGGCCTTCCGTTAGACAAGATGCCCAAAACCTTGTCCTTAGCTGCCCTTCCTACTAGGCCCATGCCCCCGAGCACCATCAGCCCTCAAATCTCATGGTTTCAATCACCTCACCCTGGCCGTTCGAGTAATGGGGGACAGACTTCATCGGTCCTTTTCCTAAAGCTGTCGGGGGGTATGCCTTCTTTGTGACTGCCGTAGACTATTTCACTAAATAGGTCGAATCCGAGCCTCTAAGAGCCATCACCGGGCTGGCGGTTTAAAAATATTTTTGGAAATGCATCATTTGCCGCTTCGGCATACCTCAGGTCATCATTTCAGACAATGGGAGACAGTTCGCCGAGAACCCGTTTAAGATTTGGTGCGAGAACCTCGGCATCAAGCAACACATCACTTCGGTAGGCCACCCCCAAGCCAACGGTCAGACCGAAAATTTCAACCGAACTCTCTTGTATGGCCTCAAGACTCGACTTCACCAAGTTGGATCATCATGGATAGAAGAACTCCCTAGTATCCTGTGGTCTTATAGGACCATGCCGAGGTCAGCAACGCAAGAGATCCCCTTCTCCTTGACCTACGGAACCGAGGCGGCCATTCCTGCTGAGATCCTCAAATCCAGTCCTCAGTTGGCAGCTTATGCAGCAGAAGTGAACGAAAAAGAAAGACAACTGGATCTCGATCTCGTGGAAGAAAAAAGAGATATTGCCTCAACTCGGGTTGCTTCATACAAGAACACCTTGGCCCGTTACTACAATGCCCACGTCAAACATCGTCGATTTCAACCAGGAGATCTGGTCCTGAGGAAAAACACGGTCAGTCGAGCTGAATCACAAGGAAAATTATGTCCAAAATGGGAAGGCCCTTATCGGGTTGTGGAATCTAACTTAAGTGGGTATTGTAAGTTAAGTTACCGGGATGATTCTCTAGTACCGAGGATTTGGCACACCGAGAATCTTAGATTGTATTATATTTGAAAATTTTAACAAATTGCAACTCCAGATATTTTGTTATTTTTTAACACCTTTGTACCACACATCCGTCATTAAAAAATAAGGGGGACAAGCAGGGGACGTAGCGAGAAACTAAAAGAACCGAGATGAGAAGGAATAGAGACTTCATTTAATGAAAAAAGCATTACAGAAGGAATACAAGAACCGGGGTTAGGAGTGCTACTAAGCACATCCCGCCTCGGCATTCCCCTCCACCCGTGAATCTAGACCCCTGCCTCGGCTCCCTCCTGGCCGGTTTCCTTGCCGATCTCTTCTCCGCCGGGATGAGGCTCTCCACCTCCTCCATGCTCCTCGCCAATCTTCTCGCCGGAGCCTTTAGTAGCCCCTTCTTCTCCCCCTTCCTCGTTGAACACCTCGTCAAGCTCAGATAGTCACTTGTTGAACTCGTTCCGGACATCAGTCAGGTTTTGTCCAGCTTGGATGCCCTCGGCCATCCGATCACACAGCTCCTTGGAGTCCTAGTTGTAGTTGGCCTTATTCCTCAGGGACTCCAAGACCTTGGAGGAAAGATGAGGAGCGGCCTCGTCAATTGCAGAGGTGTAGCCGAACATGAAACTCGGCAAGGTCAATTCGCCGAGCTCCCTGGTGAAGTCTTCGGACCTCCCGAAAGCCTCCACCGCCGAGGCTCCAGCACCCTCGAGTGCCTGCTCGTGGGATTTCTTCACCTCGTTCTCCCTTTTCTGTTCCTCACCGAGAGCAGATCTGAGACTATTTATGGTAGCCTCGGTCTCTACCTCCTTCGCTTCGGCCTGTTGGAGTCGCTTCTGGAGTTCCGTCTTCTCAGACTCGAACACCGCAAGTTTTTTCTCCAACTTGGAGATCTTATTTTGTACCTTGCCGCTGTCCTGCTCCTCGACTAGGGCACAATACCGTTGGGCCATTTCGGCCACAAATGCTGTATTGGAGGCCGTGGCCACCATGACGCTCTGAATCACCTCGGCTGGAGTCAGATTCCTCGTGAAATCCACGTCTCTCGGTAAGCTCGACTATATCACCAACTCCTGTGCGACCCGATGTTGAGTGCATCTGTCGTTGACCGAGATCGTCCAGTCTGGGCACCAGTGTTCACCGGGATGCTTCTTGCTTTTCCCAAGAAATACAGGGGGCTATGGAAACGATTCCATAGTGAGGTCTCCGTGATCGAATTAACTGGGGGTTTTAATTATTTGCCTCGACCATGAGGAGGCGGGAGTGCTGTTGTGACTCTCTGAAGAGGCACCTCTTCTGGCACCGATGAGGTGGACCCCGTGGCCGCTGCGGACGAACTGCTTTTGACAGCCATGGCCGGGGTGCTCTCAGCCGCCGTAGTCATGGACACTTGTCTTTGAGTTTTTTTCTTTGGTGGTGGCGCCGATGTCTCACCCGAGCTTTTCCTTTTTGGCCTCTTGGCCACTCAGTCGAACCAAAGGTTATAATATCGGACGACTTAGCCACTACACAATGAGCAAACATTATTATTTGTAATAGCAGAAGTGAAAAGAAAACTAAGAAAGAAAAATTACAAGATTTTGAGAGTCTTGTGGAAAGGAAAGGAGGCTTGTCAGGGTCGATCACGGTTCGGCTAATTTCCCCGTCGACCAACACTGTCTCGGGGTAGTCCTAACAATTAATTCGAAACACTGACCCCATTAACTTCTGAAAGGCCACTTCGTCATGATCCCCCGCGGAAGGGTCGGCTTTCGATTTAAGTGGCTTCCACCAAAAACTCCAAGGGAAGTCTCCGACCGGGACGAAGATGAAGTCGCGCTTCCAGGTTTTTATCGAGGTGGGGGCGTCAACCACGAGTTTCGGGATGGTATTATTCCGGTTGCAGATATAGAACCATCTTTTATCCGTCCCGTGCACCTTAAAAGTATAGCACCGACGAAAATGATTAACGGTGGGGGTCACATCTTGATGTCGACATAGCATCTCGAACCCCACCAAGATGCGGACCGCGTTCGGGGAGAGCTAAGTGACCCTGACGCCGAAGTATCGAAGTACGTCCCTGAAGAACCTTGACGTCGGCGTTCTCAGCCCAACCTCCAGTTGTTGGAGATAAATTGCCACAGTACCCATTGGGGGCTTCTCGGCTGAGTCATTCGGCTCAGGTGACCTGATGAGATACCCAGACCTAAAGGGGTATTTTCTTATTACTATTTCGGTCCTGTCTCTTCCGACACAGCTCCTAAACATCGGCATCTTGCCGAAGTCTGTCTCAGCGACATTCTTTGGCGCAACCGGCTCCAATACGCCCTCGTCGTGGGATATTTCCGTTCCGACATCGTCATTATATACGACCTCAGAACCGTCCTCACTCATTTCGGAGGATTCTGACCCCGGGGCTGTATCGGCCGTTTCCTCCTCCGCCGATTCCTCTGCAGCCCTAGACGTCGAATCCTCGGAGCTGGACGATGTCGTGTCTTCTGGAGGGTCAGGCTTCTCCTCGGCTTGGTAGTTCGGTTTCACAGTCTCTTTGTGGGTTTTAGCCGTTTTGGTCATGTACGAAAAATAAGACGAAAAAGAAATCACCTATTCACCCACAGATTTGCAAGTCTGATGCGAAATTAGAAAGTGACGGGTAGGGCGGTGAAAAGGACCTCCTATTTATAGAAGGTCGAGGGAATCCGAAGAGGTGGCAAGAATGCGATGAGGTGATCACGTTCAAATTCAAAAGACGCGTCTCTCTCTTCATTAATGCCCCGTCCTTTCAACTGAAATGCCCACATGTCGCACCCCCTCATTTTCCGGAACAGGTTCAGGTCCCAGAATCTGAATGACCTCGACGCAAGAAAACCTCGGTCCATCACGAGTCCCTGAGCTCCCGAGGCTTTGGGAGGCTTATTGAGGATGCCTACCTTGGCCACTCTGCCGAGGTGACCCACCTCGACCATCACTCGAACGCGGTCATGGCCTGAACATGATCCCTGGGTTCGGGCGGATCTATGGCCTCTGACATGGATGACCTCTGCACCTCACCCCTTCCACTTCGATTGCACGCTGTTGGTGTCAACCCTACCTGACAAAACGGAGCTCATGTTTTATCTGAAAAGCACCTGATGCTCTTAATGGCTACTGCATTAGAGCCCCCGTCATCAAGCCCCGACTACTACAGTATCAGTTAGACCTCCTCTTAGGGGACAGAGCCGTAATGGCCAGAACGTGGGTCCCGCCAACATAAGCCCACCGCCCTGTCCTCCATTCACTCCTGTCAAGTAAGCACACACAACTGCCTTTTAATGTTCATTACGTTTTTATTCCTCCAATATACTGACTTGATCGTCGGAGTGATCCCAGGGGAGAAGCTCCGCCACTCACTTCGGATAAGCAGGTTCACTTCGGACCGGCAAAACTATCACACCTCACTTGAGAGAGGACTGATTCAGGTCGGTTCAATTACCTACCAGAAATCACCTCTTCAGACAGCATCTTTCGTGTCCCTTTAGTCTTTGGACACGCAAACGTTTCCTACTAGGAACGGTCAACGTGTTCCTACCATAAAAGCGATCGATTCAAGCAGCATTTAACACCTACTGCTATTTTCCTGAGTCCGTCATACTCCCCGGTTCTCGAAACAGTGCCACCACCTCCCTCAACCACCGCCTTCCATATCCCCATCTGCAAATTTTTAGTTACTGGATTGGGATAGAGTCTGTTAATCTATGTCCCTAAAACAATTGATCAATCCCAAATGCCGGTGTCTACGGCTGACCTGGCTCCAAATGTTCCCCAAGAACTCATTATCGACGTACTCTTACGCCTCCCAGCAAAATCCGTCGGCAAATTCAGGTGCATTTCGAAGTCATGGCGTTCTCTTCTCTCCGACCCTGTATTCATCAAAGCCCACCTCGATCTCCACCTCCATCACCCCCAAAAATTTATCCTCTCTTCTTCTCCTCCCACAAAAAAATCAACTTTGTCCACCCTATCTTTCAACCCCACTGGCAGCTTTGACAACGATGGCGTTTCAAAAAAGCTCAGGCTTCTAGAGAACAAATTGATTGGCGCCACTATTGTCGGTTCTTGCAATGGGTTGGTCTTAGTTTCAAAATTCAAGAGGAGGAGTCCCGATACTAAGTACTATTTGATGAACCCCACAACCATGGAGCTCGTGGGAATACCCGCGAACCCTTTGGCTCCGTGGGCTCGTCGAGGTGGAATTGCTCTCGGTTATGACAGATCTAATGATGACTATAAAATCGTCATTTTTTTGGGAGTGACAAGGTTAACAACGATGCTTATCTCGATATTTTCAGTCTGAGGAGCGGAACTTGGAGGAGAATCGATGTTCTGTGTGATCGTCCCGCTGATGTTAAAGGGGTGTTTCTAAACGGTGCTGTACATTGGTTGGGGGAGTGTGATGGTTCACTGATTATGTCTTTCGATTTGAGTTCTGAGGAATTTAAGCCTCTGCCTGGGCCTTCTTCTCCTCCAGAAGATTCTTTTTTCGATCCTATTGAAGTTTTTGGTTGATGTCTAGCAGTGGTTGCCTTCACGGGTTATTCTACTGAAGTTTCGATGATGAATAGGGGTTTTTATATGGATGTTTGGATGATGATGGAGTATGGTGTTCAAGAATCTTGGACCAAGTATAGACCTAATACGCACCCCGATACGTGTCTTTCTTTACCTGTTTGCCTATTGGGGGATGATGATCTTGTTCTGCATGTGCATCAGAGTTTGCACAAACTTGTTGTGGACAGTCTGACAGGAGAAACTAAGAGGGACATGTTGGTGACTGGCATTGGAAATGCGTTTAGGGATGTAAAGGGCTTTTGCGAAAGTCTTGTATCGCCTATTTTCTACAGTCAGAAATGGAACCAACATAAACTTGGGGTTTGACGGTTGGAAATCTATGCGTGGTTATATCTATGATAAAAGCCTATATTCAATTATGTGTTAATGGAACCAACATAAACTTGGGGTTTGACGGTTGGAAATCTATGCGTGGTTATATATATGATAAAAGCCTATATTCAATTATGTGTTAATCTTATTTAGATAGTCATTAAATCTTAGTGGCTAGATGGTTGCCCATATGGATACCCAGTTTTCCTTTTGAAAATGTTTCAGTATTGATTTTTTCAGACTTTTGTCGAAGTTACAATGATTTGACAAGTTTGTACTAGATGTGTTGTGTAATACTAGCTGATTGTATCATACCAAAGCACCGGAGACCAACATTTCACCCTAGAATTCTACTCTCTCTCTTGCAAACAACTGGTTTTGGGGAAATGTTGCTTTCCCGTCTATATGTTTTACATTATAAAGAAAACACCCTGCCTGCGTAATTTCTACTCTTCATCTGTCTATCGTAACCAGCACTATCCACAACTTCTCCCCACCCCTACGTCTGATCCTGCCAGCAAGCCACTCTTGAAATTTTGGCATTCCTTTTGACTATTTATGGACAGGACCCTGCTACTGTGGAGTTTTCGCGTATTTCTTTTGCTCACACTTATAATGCTACGACTTACCACCTGTTTGGTTGCTGCTAAGGAATGGCAATGAGAATCACTATGAAAGGGACTTTTTGGATGCCCGAACTACATGAGAATCACTATGCGCACTCGTCAAGACTGAAACATCGGAGCATATCATATGGGAATAACCGGGCTCACAACTAGTTTGGGGAAATGTTGCTTCACATAGAACACATCAAAGGGATTTTTCTATTTTAAGGATGAGTAAAGGTTTCTTTAACTAATACCTTTCATGTCTATACCCTGTGGAGTATTCAGCTTGCCAGGAATAATTTTATCTTCAGAAGCCAACAGTTTGGTTCCACAAACATTCTGAGAATCGCAAGGTGGTGGTATAACAACTGTAAATCATCCCATGCCTCGTTATTCCGCACTTTTCCTGCACATCAAAATTTTCACTGTGTCCTTCACTCATGGGCTGGTTAACTTTAAACGTTGATGGTGCTTGTCTACCAAACCAGATGGGTGGTATTGGAGGAGTATTCAGGAATCATTGCCGTGATTTGTTCTTGCTTTTGCAATGAATATTGCTGCTAATTCTCACATGGTAGCAGAATAGTGTGCTTTAAGGTTGAGGCAAGAATTGCAGTGTCTCCAAATGTTTGTAATGTTTTAATTGAATCTGACTAAAAAAATTTTGACTGATTTCATCAGGGTGAAACAAAACCGCAAGCTCAGGACATTAATATATAGTGGACTGTAGTATCTCTTTCTTGTTAGGGGAATATAATCATGGTGCTGATGTTTTGTCTATACATGCATTGTCATTAGAACCGTCTCTAGGTTGTGTACTTTCTTGTTTCCCTTCCTCCGATGTAGTCTTTTGACTCCACTCAAGCAGGACTCGAGTATGCTTTTGTAAAGGAGGAAGATGGTCTATCGTAAGAATCTTAATCTGGTGTTGTTGGAATTTGATTTAGAAGAGCCCAAACAAGTTCTGTATTGATTGAAGTCGAAAGAATTGGAAATGAAATTGCGCTTCTTGAACGGGATAGCATGCAGTTTCATTGGATGGTGTAAGAAGTGAGGTTGTTGGATTACTTTTGTGGCTAGTGTCAAGTAAGCAAAGCTGAATGCTAACACTTGCTGCTTTGCAGACAAAGTGGTAACTAAAAAGACTTAGTATGGAGAAACTGTTGCTGTTTCTTGTATAGTAACTTTGATCATGAATGTTCTCGAATCCATTGTCCTAAACTGTCATGCTACTCGTATTTCTGCATGCTTTTTGGTCTTCCTCCATTTTGTTTTCTTGGAATTTTTTCCCGACTGTAGTTGCAGACAGGATCTGTTTTAATAGTTTGCCCTCTGCTGTGCCGTTTACGAGATTTGGTAGATAAAAGCTAATGGTTTAAATTAAGTGTTTTAATGCCACTACGAGATTTGGTAGATAAAAGCTACTGGTTTGAATTAAGGCTTTGGGCAGTTTTTTCTGTTTGTGATGCAAGTAAATAATTTTTTTTTTTTTTTTGTCAAATCATGGTTCAAGACCAAGTTTTGTAAGGTATCCATTTACAAACTCAAAATTGACCAATTTAGTTTTTTTTTTAATATATCTTATTTGTATAGCGAGTAGTATTTAGGAAGCGATCAATCCTCACTTTCAGACGGACCAACACTTTATATGCGATGAATTTCTTGATTTGTTTGCCAACTTCATTCTTTTTTCTCTTCCAGTGCACGAATAGGGCCTTTTATTTCCTTATTCTCTTTTTGGGTTTGGACAGCATTGGAAAAATTAGAATCAACCAAATAACTGTAGATATTTTTATTGATGTCGACATTTAACTGTTTTCTTTTTTTTTTAATTACTACTTGTACAAATAACAAAAGTAAAGAAGGTAAGTGATATTTCTAAAACCTTAGGGGTTCCAAGTAATATTAGGAGAAACCTCAAGGGAGGTTTCTAATATTATCTCATTGGTTAAATGTGCATAATTGTGAAATTTGCTTGTGATATTTGTATAAAGATATATAGATCAATAAGGGCTTTCTTCTTCTTGTATATTTCTCTCTTTTTTTTGTTAGAGAGTATCTACTTTTTTACATTGATTTTTTTTTTTTGTACAATCTCAACTGATGACTAATGAGAAAATTTTCATACTTTGATTAAGAAATTTTGATACAAGTATAATAATTGGAGATGGAGTCCAAGGGTAGGTAAGTACTTTTTAATGAGCAATTTTTAATTATAATCACCAATACTATTGAAATGTAATCAATTGGAGTGTTTTATTTCTTTTAATTAGTGCCACATTGAAATGCAATAATTTTAATTAAAAAACAAAAGGGTAATTTGAGAATAACAAAAACTAAGATAAAAAAGTGCTTACATTCTCTAATGCTAAGATTCATACATTTTATATAGTAATGATAATGATAAAATGATACTTTTGTCCTAGGTTTCCTTTTATAAGCCATTCATGTCATTTCTATGTGAATAAGTAAATATACACCAATCTACTTCAAACTATTTATAACTGATGTTTAGTTCAATTTCAGAAAACATTCCTTTTTCCTTAATTGAATATGATAAAAATACTGCTATAAATAACATGGAGCAAAATGGCAAGAAGCGCTATCACTTTCTCCATTTTTGCGCATTTTTTCTTTCTTCAACTTGATTGCCCTGCTCTGCATTGAGATTCAGGGCTACACCTTATGTTAGTGTAACACGAGAGGCTCTAGATATATGAGATATCATTCATATTCAAGTTTGGAATCCTTTTTTTTTTTTTCCAAAACATGAGGTATATATCTTGACTTGAAGTTGAAAATATTGATTTAAAAAAAAATATTTGTATACTTATGATCAATTTTTTCAATAATTTATCCAGTCATCTGATTGAAGGTAGAAAGAAGATTTGATTAGGCATTTCAATGAACATACAACATACAATTTTCTTCCTTTTCACAAAATTCAGGGTCTCTCCACTTAAATTAATTACATGCATGATGATTTGGACAGAAAAAATATTAATATGCCACTTTATTTTATCCTGAAGATAAAAAACAAATATTCTATGGTAAAAATCATGTCTTGTAACTTGAACATCCAAAAATCTTAAGGTCTTTCCTTCTAAACCATATGTAAAAGGGCATTTTCATCAACTCAACTATTTTGACAGTTAACTTGATGGGTTAGACTGAAATGGAAGGTAAAGTGAAAAGAAATAAACTTTAGATGTTAGCTACAACATTGACCAAATTCTTAAAAAAAAAAAAAAAAAACTTTGACCAAATTCTAAGGGGAGTTTTTGTGCTTAACCCTTCTTTTTATAATGTTCTTTTTATTCCAGTAATTCACAAAAAAAATAAATAAAAATTTCTTTATAAGCAAAATTATGCTTGGCTTTTTCGTGAAGTATATACATTTCCTTCAAGGCAATGCATGTTATGTAATCACGAAGAATTCAGAGGAAGTGCCAAACTCGTATACATTTCCTTCAAGGCAGTACATGCTAGGTAATCACAAAAGATTAAAAAGTGACAAACTTATAGACAGTGGACTATCTATTACATATGACTACGAACACAAGGAAAAAAATTGTGCATAAGAATTATTATAAATGCCTTTCATAATAAATAGACTGCACTTGTGCCCGTATTCAGAAATTTTCCCTTCACTAATTTTTTTTCCCCTTGAACATTTATCCCAAACAACTTCGTTGAACAGCTTATAAGAATGTAAATTGACAGAGACACAAATCCTATAAGATATAGCTGTAAATGTTAGTTACCCTAGCTTAAAAAAAAAAATGGAGCACTTAAAAAAGCTTGTCAGTTGGTCTGAATTATATGGCGAAATAAAGATTAAAATAATGACAAACTAAGGATGTTGAATCAGGAAGATTCCTTTTACTTACATATTTTGATAAAAACTGGAACTAATTTTATTAATCACTGCACTGAAATTTAGGCAATGATACAATATAAGGTGAAGCAGGGCTGCTCAGTAGAGAGAATAAATAAATGAGAGTATAAAGTTAAAAGTACACAGATTTGAAATAATTATTATAGTATTTTTTATGATGTAATATATGTAAAATAAAAAGGTGATTAAGAAAATGAAAAGGTGTGATAGAAATTGTATTTGTGGTGCAAGTAAATAAATTTTTTTTTTTCAAATCATGGTTCAAGACCAAGTTTAGTGAGGTATCCATTTACAACTCAAAATTGACCAATTTAGTTTTTTTTTTTTAATTTTTAACATCTTATATGCATAGAGAACTTATATCCAAGTTTCCCCCCCAAAAAAAAAGTCGAAAAGAAAAGGTGAAATTTTCAAAGGAAAGGTACATTAAAGTCCCCTCTGGTCAGTTACACCGCTTGGTAACGTACCGCACCAAAGCCATAATGGTTCAATCCTCACTTTCAGACGGACGACACTTTACATGCGATGAATTCCAATCAATTCTAACTTTAGATTTGTTTGCCAACTTCATTCTTTTTTTCTCTTCCAGTACACGAATAGGGCCTTTTATTTCCTTATTCTCTTGTTTTCAGTTTGGACAGCATTGGCAAACTTAGAATCAACCAAATACCTCTAGATATTTTTATTGATTTCGAGACTTTTGAGGCCCTCTGAAGACTTGAGTCATTCCTTGTTTAATAGTGAGACAATTAAAAAAGCAAGCATTGAAGGGTGAGATTTCAAATAATTAAAAAAAAAAACAAAGGACTTAAAAAGCTTGTGAATTGGGGAAAACAAATACGGAAACATTTTATTCTTTTTATTTATGTATTTTGATAAAAACTTGAAATAATTTCATTAATCACTACACGACATAGCTTCCATTCTCCGTATGAATTACAAATACCAGGTCCGCTTTACAAAAACTTGAAATAATTATTGCATTCTTTCCTCCGGCGAGTCAAATATTCTGAGGTTAGGGACACTGGACACCAGGTCCGCATCAAGCCCACTGATGAAATATTCTGGCATGTCCACAAGCTCAAGCGTATCAAGAGTAGATATGTCCTTCAGCTCTTCCGGCAACTTCTCTAAATCAAAGCAGTACTTGATCCTCAGGCATTGGAGCTGTGGCAATGCACCTTTCTCCACCTTTATTTCATCCAAAGCATATAGGCGGCTGAGCTCAAGGAATTTCAATTGGTGAAACCCATGCCTAGAGATGACCATATGCGGTGGTCCCCAATGTGTAGATTCCAGTTTGAGGAACGACAGCTGTCCCAACTTCTCTAGTGCTGGCATTGGGTCATCCGTGAGAGACGTGGATCTCAAAGACAAGCGAGAGAGATTTGGAGGGAAATCAGGACGCAGCATTCTCAAATCCCTCCCGGATACCTGGAGCTCTGTTACATGATGGAGCTTAGAAAGTCCAGCTAGAGATTGTGGCCACCCTCTTCCTGGAGTACGATAAAGACCTAGCGCCTTTAGGCTTCCAACCTCAGATAAATGCATGCAGAGTTTGTCTATCTTTGACCTGTCATCCACCCGAATCCGCAGCTTCTGAAGACTTGTCAGAGTTATCATGTTATTGTGCATAACGTCCTCAAAGCGTATGCCTGACAGAGTCTGGAGATTTCTCAATCCTTCAATCTTAAGAGGCACATCACATAGCATCTCATGCGCATATAGATGCCGTAAACTTTCAAGCTTCCAAATGAAATTTGAAACTCTCACTGTGTCATAGGTCCGTAAGTCAAGAGTTTGTAGGTTTCGCAAGCAACCGACGGAATGAGGGAGCCTTCTAATGTATGTGCCTCTTAAATTGAGGTACCTTAGAAGCCTGATTTCACCAATTCCTTTTGGCAAATTATAACCCATCTTAACATTCTCAAGGTCCAGTGTCCTAAGCTTTCTGAAACTTTTGAAGATAAGACTAATGTTTTTCCTGTAATAGCGGACATTGAAAAAAAGCAGACACCGGAGAGGAGGGGTCGAAGTCCCAAAATAATTTTTATCCAGAGAGAGACTATGAACAGCTAGGTACCTGGGTTTGGCTGATATTTTATCATCTCTGGTGCCATGGATCTGAAAAAAATTTTCATCCTCTGCCTTCCTGATTGCAAGGTCTCGCAGCAAATCATGGAGTCTGCAGCTTTTAATCCTCTCATCAACAGTCATTTCCGCCACCTGGACCATATTTCTGCTAAAAAGTTGTTCCACATCATATGCTGCAGTTTCCTCCAAATTTTTTGCATCTCTTTTCTGCATTATTCCCTCTGCAACCCACATATGGATCAACTTGGGCACAGAAATCACGGAGTCTTCGGGAAACAAACCCAAATACAAAAAACAAAATTTCAGATTGGGAGGAAGGTCTGCATAACTTAATTCCAGAATTGCTGATACTCCACTCTGGCTCTTTGATAGGTTTGTGTTGAAACTATTGAGAACTTTCTCCCATTCAATCTTCAACTCTTTCTTGCCCAGTAGCAGCCCACCTACAACTGTGATGGCCAGTGGCAGACCAGCACATCTCCTTACAATCTCTCTGCCTACTTCTTCCAAATCCCGAGGACACCCAACATTAGCTCCATGGTCTAAGGCCTTTCCGAGGAACAACTGCCAGCTGTCTTCCTCCCCCAGAGTTTTCAGCTCATGTGGTTTGCTACGAGCATCTGCGTGTTGGGCAACATCCCGATTGCGACTTGTAAGCAGCAGTCTACTACTTGATGTATTAACATCAGGAAAGGCCTTAGCAAGACAATCCCACGCTTCTTCTTTCCATACATCATCAAGTACCACAAGACAACATTTATCTTGTAGATCTTGATAGAGCCTTTGTTCCAAGTCCTGCTCTTGCATCTTTTCCAACATGTCAAGTAGTTCATTAGTCATCGGATATAATTGCTTTATGATTGTCCTTAGCGTCTCTTTGTGATTGTAGCTTGAAGAGACGCATACCCAAGCACGGCAGTCGAATCTTGCCCTGACGTCAGCATGGTTATAAACTTTTTTGGCTAGAGTTGTCTTCCCAGCACCTCCCATGCCGACGATTGAAACCACACGGCGGTTTTTGTCCTCTTTCAAAAGTTCTGCCACCAGCGATTTTGTTATCTCCCCGAAGCCCACTACATCCTTTTCCTCGCTGAAAGGAGAGGATCGCCGGATCCGTTGAAGCTCTTCCCCATGCGTAGTCATCCCCTCTCCAAGATTATTGATACCATACTCTTCGCGGCTGTCAGCTATGTCATTGAGCCTCATCCGTAAGGATTCAATCTCTTTACCTATCTTGTAGAGGTTCACAATTTTCAAGGGATAATACGTCAATTTGGTGACGAGTCCCTTGTCCTTTGTGAAGAACTCAAGTTTGCTGGCAAAGATCTCAATGATATCCTCCGCATCGTAGGCCGCAGCTCTGATTTCAGAAACCCAGTTGCGGATCCTCGCATCTTCATCTTGCCTCTGATCAGCATCTTTCAGGAAACACCGCATCCGGACCAGATCATTTTGAAGTCTCTCAACATGGCCTCGAACACCTTTCAGGAAAACAATTTTTTGAACCAGCAGATCGCCAGTTCTCTCAACAACAAGAGAGATAACAGGGTCAGCCATCTTGGTTAAGCCGGAAGCGAGCTTTGCTTTCAACAAGCTGTTGTTTTAACTGATCTCAGAAGAGAGATTGGATTCTCGTGGTTCATTTTCTCTTCGAGTTTTATCCTTAATTCTTCATTGACTTGTGCAAGAGCAATTGTTTGGGAAAATCGCCAATTTTACTTAAGCCAATTTGGTCCTCAAACTATTTTACTTAAGCCAATTTGGTCCCTTAATATTTTATCGCATAAATTAAGTCCTTTAACTAAAATTCTTGTGCCAATCGGTGTCGCCATAACAAACACATGTTTCTGTATACAATTCGACGGCGAGGCAGGGGCTTTTTTGGAAGTTAAAAAATACACGAGGAAGACACCGTTTATTCCTACTCTTCCCAGCTCAAAACTCAGTGTAGTGAGGAGTTCCAGTGTACTGCATAACAAAAAATCCACCCCTCTTCCGCCATTCTCTTCCTCCTCCCTAAATGCTAGTAGCAGTTAAATTAAATGGCCATCTCTTCCATCTTCCCCACTCACCAGCACTGGTATGAGTCATCCCTCACCTCTCTCCGCTCATCTCATGATTCCACCGCTGCTGCTAGCACTCCCCTCCTCTTCTTGTCCACACCTACAGCACCGTCTTCCACGACTTCTCTGCTCAGCTCACTGTTTCCCAAGCTCACGCCCTTCCACGGCTTCTCTGCTCAGCTCATTGTATGCGTTTCAACATCCGTTACACAACCCATCTCCGTATTCACTTTCCTCCTATATATGTACGCCGTCTCAATTACTCACTCTTTAGCCCCATAATCCTCTTCCTCTTCCTCTTCTCTTTCCTTTCTGTCTCGCTCGGCTTCAACCTTTTTTCTGCAACAAATCTTTGTAGCTCTTGGACCACCCAAACAGCACTGACAAATGCAAAGAAATCGGAAATTCCCCAATTCCCATTAGAATCGGTCAATCCAAACAAAATCTCCTAGAATATTTCTGAACTCAAAAAGCTCTGTCCTTTTCCTACTCTTTCGGGAGGGATTTTTGTTAACCAAAAAAAAAATAAAAATAAAAATAAAAAATCTTACTGGGAAAATTAGTAAAACATCATCATCAGTTCATCACCAACCACCATCTTTATCCCCTTCATTTCCTTCCTAGCGAGGTTTACGACCGTTTCCTTCCTAGTGAATATGTATTTCTTCTGTGATTGGAAAACTTGTGTGGTGAATATGTTATTTCTAATCTTAAAATCAGATTCGGAGCCAGGAAACCAACCTTACACGCCTCCATCATTTATCTTGCCATCTGCATTATTGACTTCTCTTACAGTTACTGTAGCTTTCATAATAATCAATGGTACAGTTTACACGGGCAGTGTGATTTTTTGAGCAACGTCGCCGGCCCTGGAACCCTCATAAACATTGCCGTATGGGACCTTTTTTAAGGGAAGTGAGGAGGTGAAATCCTCAGGGTCCAAATCGATTAAAATTGCTAGTAATGATTAAATGCGGCAAAGATGTTCGATGAAATGCCTCAATGAAGTTTGCTTTGTTATTGTGGTAGCAATTAAACATCTGGGTTTTATGAACTTAAGGAAACTATAATGGAGTACCTGTTTTGCCACGTATCAGGTCTAAATACTACAAAGATCAAAACATATACATCCTACATCCTTGTGAGCGGCTGTCCAATAGCTAGTGGGCTAATTTCATTTGTAATCGCAAGTTTTAGTTTCCTAAAATATCAGCATACTTTCCGAGATGAGAATCAAGCCACTCTAGAAACACGTGCCTTTTTAATCAGTAGCCTATACAACTGGTGTCTTTTTACTTCCAAAAAAGTCCCTGCCTCGCGTTGAATTGTATATTTGTATACAGAAATATGTGTTTTTGATGGTGACACCGTATAGGTTCTCAATTGGCACAAGAATTTTAGTTAATGAACTTAATTCCTGCGATAAAATATTAAGGGATCAAATCGACTTAAGTGAAATAGTTTGAGGATTAAATTGATGATTTTTCCGCAATTGTTTTAGTAAAAAACAAAGCAGTTCGATTCACATGGTGGAGTGGAAGGCGGAATTGTTTTGATACGCGGATTTGACTTCAACGCGGTATTGGAAATGATGGACCACCAATTAACTAATTAGGATTTAATTAGGTAATAGAATTCGTTAATTAGGAGTTAGAAAAAAAAAACCAATACGAAATTACAATAAATAACCCAGACCACAACGCATGATTGCCTTGCATCTTACACCTTAAAAATCTAAAATTAACTGTTGGCTAATGCTGTAGCTCATAATTATAATTGCTAAAGTAACTACAGACTACTCTGCGACTAAATACATTAACTTCTCTTCCTTATTATGCAAGTGTTCCTTGATAAATTAACTACACAAGTCATGACCAAGACACTTTTACAGGTCCGCGGTAGAGTGGAAAACTGACCTCATTAATGCCCCACACTAATATCGGCGAAATATATGGCTTGGAGTGTCTGTAGTGACAATAATGTAAAATCTCACAAAATCCCTTTGCAGTACATTGGCATAAAATATGCCACGTAACCACGACACCTTAACATACACAATTAACTATATATTAGCACTGACAAAAAATATTTGTTTATCTCTAACATACACAATTAACTATACATTTTAAAAACGAAGCAAATTAATCCCAGATTGACAATTTAATAAAGATTTTAGATATAAAATTGGAAGGTCACTACAAAAAGACATTAAGTCACTGTAAAAAAAATTAAAAATTATAACATACTACCTAGAAAAAGTTAAAATTTTTTGAGACAATCACATTGGTCAACATAAAAAGGAAAAAACCCCTAAGTTACAAAATTTTATAATTCAAAAATTGTTTAAACTTTTTTGAGTGAAGGGTTTGTTTTTGATGTTATAACTTTTAAATTTTTCTTCTTTTTTAGAGAGAATGGTTTGTTTTTGATGTTGTAATTTTAATTTTTTCTTTTGATGTTAATTTAATATCACGTTTTTGAAAAAAATTTTATTTTTTAAGAGAGAAGGTTTTTTTTATGTTGTAATTTTAATCTTTTTCCTTTTTCTATTGCCTTAATATCGTATACATATCAGATATAGTTAGATTTGATTAAAGTTAAACTGATGTTTCAATTTTACCCTTGAAATCTATATCAGGATATCATTCTGGGATTAATTTGCTTCGTTTTTTAAATGTGAGGGACTAATTTATTTTATTTTAAAAATAAAGAAAAAAAGTTTTGTTTCCTAAAATGTAAGGGATGAAGCATATCTTTTCTTTTTTTTTTTGGTGAGAAATCCTTTTACACAGGAGAGGGATACTGCCCTAATCTATATGGTTTACTGTCTGTATGTCTTGTAATAACACCAGCTCCCTCACCCCCCACTTCCCTCCAAGGTTAAGGATATTCTCACTGTCCAAGATATTTTGTGCTGAATACATTGTTATAACAAACACATGATTTTCATTTTATGTTTATTTTTCAAGTATTGTTATTGTTTATATAATCGTATCCTCAAATTTTTATTATACCTTAGACTATTGTTAGCATTAGAAATTGAGAAAAATGCCAAAACAGTTGCTATGCATTTCTATAAAATTTCCCATTTTATAAAGCAATTGTTACTTTTTGTAAAACCCATGGGTTCGTTTGGATTCCTTGTTTTTGCACCTGTTTTTGAAAAACTGTTTTTCACATTCCAAATGCTACAGTAAATGTGTATTTCAAAAATAATTCCAAAAACACCCATATCCAAACATTATATCAAAAACAACTCCAAATATACAAATTTAATATGTATATTTCAATTTATATTAATATAATATAAATTGAAATATATAAATTGAAATATGTAAATTGAATATATAAATTGAAATATACAAATTGAAAATTATATATTTATATGTTATATATGTTATATATTATATATTATATAAATATTTACATACATTAATATTATACATAATATAATATAATATACATAATATGTAATATTGTATACATAAATGTATAAATATTTATACATAATATATTATGTACATTATATTATAATATATATATTATTAATGTACTTTCATTATTATGTACATTATTGTGTATAATAATGTATAATAAAGTTATGTATAATATATAATATACATAATATGTAATAATGTATAAATGTATATTATGTATATTATATTATATATATACAATATTATGTATATTATACAAATTGCAAAATTTTATATTATATATTTATATATTATATAAATATTTATATAATGAAATATACAATAAATATTACAAATTGAAATATTATATAAACACCATATTTATTAATATTCAAATATTTATAATTAATATTAATGTATATTATATATATTAAATATTTATAAATAATATATTTATATATTCAAATTATATATAATTTATTTATTTAATGTATATGTTTATATATTTATAATATATTTATACAAAAAATATATATTACAAAATTATATATAATATAATATAATATATATTATATAGATTATACATTTATATAAATGTACATTTATACATAATATATATATTTATGTATATTTATAATTTACATTTATATTATGTATTATATATAATATAATACATTTACACATTTATATTAATATACATTATATTAATTTTACATTTATACATAATATTAATACATTTATATATTTATATTAATTATATTAATACATTTATACATAATATTAATATATATTTATGATATATTAATTTATACATTTATATAATATTCATTTATAATTTATATATTTATAATAATATACACTTATACATTTCTAAATATATTTATATTATGTATTAGATATAATATAATACATTTATATATTTTTATATAAATATATAAATATATTTAATTATAAATATTTATAAATGTATTATAAATGCATAAATATATATTTATATAAAATTTATAATTTATAATTTTTACATTTATATAATATTCATTTATAATTTATACATTTATAATAATATACATTTATATAT